AAAGCAGTGGAAGATGGCCCAAGTCCTTGGGCCCCTGCTCCTGGCTCCTGGCTTCAGATCAGCACAGCTCTGGCCGGTGCGGCCATCTGGGGAGTGAACCAGCGGATGGAAGACTTCTCTCTTTCTGCCTCTCCTTCTCTCTCTCTGTAAACTGACTTTCAAGTAAATAAATTAATAAAAAAAAAAAAAAGCAGCTGGGACTCAAACCGGCACCCATATGGGATGCTGGTGCTGCAGGCCAGGGCTTAAACCCGCTATGCCACAGTGCCAGCCCCTATTAGTGATCTCTTAATTTGTGAAAAAGACATGTATGAGTCGTATAGTGAAGTTAAATCCGTAAAGGGCGAGCCCCTGTGGCTGTAAAGATGACCGAGTTGCACTCACAGTTACAGCCGGAGGCTGGCTGCTCTGCTGGGGGACAGCAGGGGGCGGGGCGGGGCGGGAGCCTCAGCAGCTGTGTCGTCCTCGCAGGAGCCGATCAGGCCTCGGTGACCGCCAGGAGCCACGTCCAGCTGGTGAAGTCCCAGGTGCAGGAGGTGCGCCAGCTCTCGCAGAAAGCGGAGATAAAGCTGGCGGAAGCCCAGACCCAGGAGCTGCGGCAGAAGACCCAGGAGCGCGGGGAGGGGAGGCCCGAGCCCGAGCCCGAGCAGGAGGCCTACCTGCGAGAGGACTGAGGCCGCCCGCGCCCGGCGTGAATGCCCTCCTGCCCCGCGCCACCAGGGCCCCGCCCAGAGCCAGAGGCCCCGCCCTGGCCAGTGAGGCAGAGGCCTTTGTGAACTGTGAGTGCCCACCCCTCCCGCACAGCCGCTCCCACTCCCTGCTCTTACCTCACACGCCCAGCGCTACTGGGAGCCGGAGGGGGCCTTGTTTGTTATGCCCTAAGTTCAGTAGCTTTTTAACCTGTTTTATCTTAAATTTTCAAAGTGATTTCACACTTGCCTCTTCGTAAGGATGTGAGTTGCTGGGGGCGGGGAGCCTGCCGGGTTTGTAAGATTTCTAAGTGTTTTGTGATGGGTCCACCACCCCCAAAAGGACATGAAGCCAAGGGGTCAGCGGCACACGGGAGGGTGAGGCAGTGCCCACCTGCTGCTCTCAACAGGACTCTGACACGTGCCTTGTGTTCCTTCCGCTCCTTCCCAAAGAAGAATTTATTTTTTTGCATTTAAAAAGGAGACAGCATTTGCTGTGCTTCGGCGTGCGCCAGGTTCCAGGGTTTTAGAGCGAACAAGGTGGGAAGGGGTTCGAGTCCGTGTTCAGAGTTCCTGTTCCTCACACAGGAGGAGAGCGACACCCGGCGTCCTCCAGGCAGGTGCTCAGAGCTGGGGTTTGGGGGCAGCTGTGCAGTCGAGCCCCTCATCTGTCACCAGCGCCCACATGGTCCACAGCTCCAGGGGGCAGAGGCAGTGCACCAGCAGCAGCCCTCGGTACAGGCAGGGGTCCAGGGGGTCCAGGGGCGGCCGGATCCCGAACGTCCTGAACCCAGCGTGGTGGGTGGGCCTCAGCCCCAGCTTGCGCAGGCACATGCCCACAAAGACGTCGTCGATGGGGAAGAGCTCAGCCGCTTCCACGGCTGCGCGCAGGCGCCACACGGTGGCTCTGGACATGACGTAGCCGCCACCCCCAGCGTAGGGCGGGTAGAGGCGGGCCCTGTACATGGACTGCGGGATGAAGTACTTGTGCTTGGTGTCCCTGTGGGGCGTGGCCATGCGGATGACATCTCCCACCAGGAGGTCCTGGGCCGGGTCGCAGCCGTCCAGGAACTCCAGCAGGTTGGGGACGTGGATGAAGACGTCGTCGTCCCCTTTGAGCACGAAGCGTGCCTGGGGGCAGGCGGCGGCCGCCCAGCGCTGCAGGTGCAGCTCCTTGAGCGTCAGGTTGAAGAAGTCCTCGGCGAAGTCCCACTGCAGGATGTCATCAAACTCCCCACTCTCGTAGGCCAGCAGCCGGGCTGCGGGGGCAGGTCCCCCCACCCCGAGGAGAAACACGAGCTTCAGCCGCCGGCCCCTAGCCCAGGCCCCCGCCCGGCCCCAGGTGCCGCGGATGGCCGCCCGGCGCCCCACGTGGCCCGGCTGGGACTTGATCGCCAGGAGCAGGAAGGTGTCCTGGGCACAGCCCGAAGGCTCCAGCAGGACGGAGAAGTTGCGGCAGTGGCGATAGGTCAGGAAGAGGCGGTGGCGAGCAGGCAGGAACTGGGAGGCGTTGGCCGCCGTGTCGTTGGGTGGGCACTGGCTGCGGCGGGGCCCCGGGGGAGCCCAGAAGGGCGGGTGGGCCGCGGGGGCCCCCAGCGGCCTGGCCTCCTTCTTCAGGAAGAGCAGGCAGCCGGGCAGCAGCACTGCAAGGCCGCACAGGAGCAGCCAGCCCAGGCTGCAGGGCATCGCCGGGCCTGCGAGGAGCGCGCCTGGGTCGCGTCCCCAGAAGCTGACCAAGCTGTCTGCCACCCGGCGGCAGCCTAGTTCCCGCTGCGGCTCTGGCTTTCCAGGCCTTCCCCAGAGAGAAACAGCACACCTGCTGCACCCGGCAGGCGGGCTCCTGGGCCAACGTCCCCCGTCCCCCCCCCCCCCCCCCGATGACTGACAGCTGCCTTGAAGCCGACGCCACAAACACGGGCCCCCCCTTCCCGGGGCTCAGCCGCCTGAGTCCGTGTGAACAGCACAGACTTCGTTTAGCTTTTGGGTCAAATTCTAAGCGCAACTCTGGACACCGGGAGCTCTTCACCCAAGTAAAATCACTCTAGGGGTGGGTGTCTGGCGCAGTGGGACCCCCACGTGCCACGTGGGAGTGGCTGACTCCAGCCCCGGCTCTGCTAACGCACACCCTGGGAAGGCAGCTGGGGACTGGCCTGGCCCAGCTCTGGCTGTTGGGGGCATTTGGAGAGTAAACTAGAGTCACTCTGGGCTTTCCAGTAAGTCAGACCATTTCCCAGAAAAACTGCTGCTCCGACACGTGGCGGGGTGTTGGGTGTCCCCAGCTACCGAGCCCGGGACGGGGAGCGAGCAGGCGGCAGCGGCGGCCGGAGAGCGCGCCCTTCGCCTCTGCGGGCAGCGGTCTCGGTCTCGGGATTCCGCCAGGGATTTTGGGGCAGGCGCCCGGCACAGTGCAGGCCAGGAAGTGGGAGAACTGCAGCCTCTCCCCTTCCCACCGCTTACTCAATTCTGGTTTTCTCTCGTGAAGTCTCGCAGCGACCCAAAGGAGGGAGAGAAACCGCATCCCCGGGAACTCGCCCAGGGTCACAGCCGCACAGCCAGGCCCGTGGCCTTCCGCCGCCGGTGCCCCGCAAGGCAGCCGGGCGTCCTCCCTTCTCACCTGTGCACGGAGCCCGCTGCGGCGAGGCCGACGGGCCACTGCCCTCGCCACGGGCGCAGACCAGACTCACCGGACCCGTGCACTGAGAAACCAAGGCGCAAGGCGGGACGGTGACGGGGGAGGCGCAGGGACGCGGCCGCGCGGGGGAGCGGAGGCTCCGGGAGGGGCAGCTGGCTCCTGAGCTCTCGCCTGCCGCGGCTGGGAAGGCGGCGGGACCCCGGGTGTGGCGAGCAGATCCGCGGGCGAGGCCGCGGGGCCTCTGCTCGGGCCCTGCCCGTGGTGTCTCGGCCCCGGCCCCGTCCGCCGCCCCGCGGAGCCCCTCCTCGGCCTGGACGTCGCCCACGCTCCCTGCGGGCTCCGGGAGGGAGGGGCGGCGCACGACCCCTCCGAGTGGAATGCAGGACCCCTGGGCGCGGGAGGCCGCCAAGGCCCAGGGCTGCGGCTCTGCCCGCGCCGCAGCCTGCGAAGGGGTCGAGAGCAGACGGGACCGCGGTCGCCGGAGCAAGGGCCCATCAGCGGGGGTTACCAGAGCCCGGGTCCACGACGCCCGCCTCCGACCATGCTGCCCTCGGCGGGGCGAACTCCAGGCCCAGCGGCCTCCCCGCCCCTCCCGACCTACCTGCGCGCCGCACCACCGGCCGAGCTCCGGCGGCCAGCCCTGCCCGGAGCGCCCAGCACGCCGGGCGCTCGCGGCCTCCGGCCGTGGGCCGGACTGGCCACGCCCCCGCGTCGGGGCCGGGGTCTCTGGGGAAGGGGCGGGGCCTGGGGCCACCGCGTGCCCCTTCCCGGGTCTCGGCCACGCCCTCCCGCCCGCGACGCGCGCCAAGCAGACGCGAGGCTCGGGGCTGGGCGCCGCTTTACTGTGCCGCGCTAGAGGCGAAGCTGTGCAGCGCCTCCGCGGCCGTGCGGCACTGGCTCAGCTGGACCTGCACCTCCACCGTCAGCGCCTCGGGCTGGTACTGGCTTTCGCTGGCCGGAGCCGCCGCTTTCGGCTTTTCTGAGAAAGCAAGAGACGCGCGCGTGAGTGCGGAGAGGCGCGGGGGACAGCTTGCCAGCCCCGAGAGCAGCGCGCCTGCGAACGGATTCTCGCACGGCGGGGAGCTCGGGTGGGCATGGGGGACACCTGCGTCCTCGGGCGGACTCAGCAGCTTCCCGGTGCTCAGAGGACCTCCGACGACCCGGGAGGCGTGCGGCGGGCGCGCCCGCGGCTGGAGCCTCTGCACAGCCCGGCGACCCAGGGCTGCGCCCGTGCAGTCCGTGCCGGCGTGGGAGTAGGGGGTAGCGGGCGGACCTTGGCCAGCTCACGGATCAGGCTCGGCTTTCACACTGTGAACACCTCTACTCGAGCTTGGTGTCACACCAGTAACACCACCAGTAAACAACAAAGCAGTTACTGGACAGCCCGACTCCCTCTTAGCCAGTGCGGCGCCCCGTGAGGCTGACTTCCTTCACCACTACAGCCACGTCGCCCCCAGCTGCAGAGCCGCCGCGAGAACCCAGCTGTGTCCAGTTAAACCGGGTGGGGGAGATTCGCAAAGACGTTTACTAAAACCACCCACCCCAGCCCACCTGTCTCAGGCCGCAGCAATCGTCAGTCACCGAGCCCTGTGCGCCTGGTCTCGCAGTCCAGGGGAGGAAGTCATTTTTCTCCCGCTGTTTGGCTATTTTAAGTATTAAGAACTCTTTTTTTTTAATTTATTTTATTTATTTGAAAAAGTTGCAGAGAGAGGTAGACACAGAGAGAGGTCTTCCATCCGCTGGGTCACTCCCCAGATGGCTGCAACAGCCGCGGCTCCACTGATCTGAAGCCAGGAGCTTCTTCCAGGTCTCCCACGTGGGTGCAGGGGCCCAAGGACTTGGGTCATCTTCTACTGCTATCCCAGGCCACAGCAGAGAGCTGGATCGTCAGAGGAGCAGCCAGGACTAGAATCAGTGCCCATATGGGATGCCAGCGCTTCAGGCCAGGGCTTCAGCCCACTTTAGCCCCCTAAGAACTCAGAATCTGGGCCGGCGGCACGGCTCACTAGGCTAATCCTCCGCCTTGTGGCGCCAGCACACCGGGTTCTAGTCCCGGTCAGGGCGCCGGATTCTGTCCCGGTTGCCCCTCTTCCAGGCCAGCTCTCTGCTGTGGCCAGGGAGTGCAGTGGAGGATGGCCCAAGTGCTTGGGCCCTGCACCCCATGGGAGACCAGGAGAAGCACCTGGCTCCTGCCATTGGATCAGCGCAATGCGCCGGCCATAGCGCGCCGGCCATTGGAGGGTGAACCAACGGCAAAGGAAGACCTTTCTCTCTGTCTCTCTCTCTCACTGTCCACTCTGCCTGTCAAAAAAAAAAAAAAAAGAACTCAGAATCTGCTTGAAGCCGCCTGCTGACGGCCGGCCCCGCCCGAGACAGGTGACCCTGAGAGGGTGCCGAGCCCGGGAAACCGCCACCCCCAGCCCCCCGCCCCGGGCACAGCACAGGGCGTCTATGCAGGCCTTTAGTCTCGCTTTTCTCCCTTTTGTTTCCTCCTTGGATCCAGTTTACTTGCAAGTGCATGTGCCCCCAGCAGTGCGGGGCTTTTCCTGCCTTCCAGGCCGGGCTCTGCCTGGTCACCTACGCCCTCCCCTTTCCCCAGGGCACGTCCTGGGGTTCCCACTGCTCCCGTGACCCCGGCCAGCCCTCAGGCCCTGCAAGTCCGATCTCGCTCTCGGGCCGGTGTGGACACAGCAGGGATGGCACGGGAAGCCTTGTGCTGCTGCCTCCTTGTGCTGTCGGCTCGGTTACCGCTTTACCGGATGACGGACGGCACACATTCACAACTCTTTGTCTTCCTATAAATATCCAGGCATTTGGCCGGCACCGCGGCTCACTAGGTGAATCCTCTGCCTGCAGCGCCGGCACACCAGGTTCTAGTCCCGGTCGGGGCGCCGGATTCTGTCCCGGTTGCCCCTCTTCCAGGCCAGCTCTGTGCTGTGGCCCAAGTGCTTGGGCCCTGCACCTGCATGGGAGACCAGGAGAGGCACCCAGCTCCTGGCTTCGGATCAGCGCGGTGCGCCGGCCGCAGCAGCCACTTGGAGGGTGAACCAACGGAAGGAAGACCTTTCTGTCTCTAATTCTGCCTGTCAAAAAAAAAAAAAAAAAAAAAAATCCAGGCCTTTGTTCTTAGGGGACTGTGGCCCGAGCTCATTCATCTTTGTGGCGTTCCCCCCACCCAGGCGCGGTCTCTCAGTGGGGGTCTGCGCACCACTGCCACTGTGCTGAGGCCAGGGCCTGCCCTCTGGCGGCCCAGCGCTGGCAACGTGGGAGAGGAGACGAAATTAAACCACACACACAGAGCTTCCTGCAGGGCTGCCCTAACCAGGAGGCCCAGGCCACGAGTGGGGGAGGGGCGGCTAGAGTAGCCCCCATCCACCTGCTGTCGGTGATAGGCGGGGCCGAGGGGAGAAGGTGAAAAAGGGGAGGGGTCCTTGTGGAAAAGGCTTCGGATGTGCACCCCAGCCCAGCGCCTCACGGCCTGGCCAACCTCACCCCCTAACCGGGGTGCCAGCTGCGGGCTCAGCCCTTCTCCGGTCTCACCTCATACCTGACACTGAAAGTTACTGTTTTTCATTGAGATAAAAAAAAAAATTCGGAAAACATAAAATTCTCCACCTTAAGATGCACAATGCAGTGGTTTTCAGTATATTCTCAATGCTGTGTCGCCCCCACCACCTAAGTCCATCACCCCAAGTGGAAATCCTGCACTCACGAGCCGTCACTGCGCTTCCCCTCCTGCAGCCCCGGGCAACCGCACACCCACTCGGCTCAGCTGCGCATCCCGGGCACATCCCACAGCGGGCGGCCGGCCCTGGGCCTCGCTGACCACACCCGCACGTCCCGGGCACATCCCACAGCGGGCGGCCGGGCTCTGGGCCTCGCTGACCACACCCGCACGTCCCGGGCACATCCCGGGTACATCCCACAGCGGGCGGCCGGGCCCTGGGCCTCGCTGATCACACCCGCACGTCCCGGGCACATCCCACAGCGGGCGGCCGGGCCCCGGGCCTCGCTGATCACACCCACACATCCCACAGCGGGCGGCCGGCCCTGGGCCTGGCTGATCGCAGCCGCGCTCCAGGGCCTCGTGCTGCATGGCCAGCCCTGTGCCTCTTCAGTCGACAACGGGTGCACACTGCGGTGGCTTTGGCTTTTCTGCGGATCTTGCCTTGTGTCCCCCGGCAGCCTCCTGGCGCCTCCCCGCTTCCTGGCTGGGCCTCCAAGCCTCTAAACTCAAGCCCGACACTTCGCTATTTCAGAGCTGCAACAGCTGCCCACTGCCCGCTGCCTGCTGGCCCCGGAGCACGTCCAGGTTCTGTCTGGGCAAACTGCGGCTCCCGGGGCAGCCCATGCCCCTGCCTTTTCGCACCACAGGGCCTCGGGGCTGCAGGCAAGGCCCAGGACTTGGTCCTCTGATGGACGTGGCCCTGCCAGGGACCGGAAGATGCCACCTCCTTCCTTCCAGCCCTCTGCACCCACAGTCACCGCCGCGGCACTTACCTTTCTTGGCACCCTTCTTAGCCTTCTTCGAGTCCTGAGAGAGAACAGGAAACGAGACACTTACTGGCGTGGGGGGCTGCCGTGAGGGGGACCTGGCACACACCTGAGGCAGGCTGCGCCCAAGATGCCAGCACCCAGGGGGTGACTCCCAGTGCCAGGCCCCTCCCGCAGCCTCCAGCCCCCACCCTGACTGGGCGCAGGGCTTCTGTGGGCAGAGGGAGGGCACAGTGGAGGGACGTGGCCCGGGCCCCCGTACCCTGGCAAACGTGAGCCTGTCGGATTCCGGGGTGCGGACCACCCCAAAGTTGCACACAGTGGACACCAGGGGCTCCCCTGCAAGCAGGGGCTCCAGGACCACCAGGCAGCTGCCCAGCACCTGCGTGACGGGCGGGTCCTGCCGGAGCTCGCTGGACGGCTCTTTCTTCCTCCTGGACCCCTTTCGCTCCTGTGGGGGAGGCTGGGAGGGTGGGGTGGGGCCAGGTGAGGCCGGGGTCACCCCGCGGGGGCCCCTGGCTTAGCCAGCCCAGCCCGGCTGGTACCTTGGGAGACTCCTTCTCTGCCTTCCCTCTCTTGTCTTTCTCCTTCTTCCCTTTCTTGGTAGGCAAGGAACTGTCCACAGAGGGTGACATCAAGGGCCAAGACAGGATCTGGAGTGAGCAAGGAAGGGAGCAGGCTGTGGCCGCCGGGCCCTGCCCCTGGGGAGGCTGAACGGCCAACGGGGAGTGGGCGACGGGGCAGCCGGAGTGGGCCGGGCAGGGCAGAGGGGCCCACCTTCTCCTCCATGACAGTCACAGTGGTCCCCGCCAGCAGGAAGGCCTTGAGCGGCACCAGGTCCTTCAGGCCGTGCTGCATCTCGTAGCCACAGGCGATCACCTCACTCCAGGGCTTGCGGGCCGTGCTGAACAGGACTGTCCTGGGGGGCGGTGCAGCCAAGGGCTCATCATGCAGGTGCCAGCATGTGCAGGACCCCGGCAGGAAACGGGACCAGAAGCCCAGGAGGGGAGGTCAGGCGAAGAGAGGCCTCCTGTGGGGCTGGACTGAGCTCACAACCGAGGGAAACGGCCCGGCCCCGTGAGGCAGCTTTCAGAAGTTCAGCCAAGTCAGAGTAGGAGAGCAGCAAATGTTACAAACTCCCACAGGCAGCCCCACTGCCTCTCAGCGATCCAAAGGCCAGCAAGCATCCCCGGGGCAGGCACTGGGCCTCCTGGCTGAGACTCCAGTTAGGACCTCTCGCATCTCAGTGCCCGGGGTTCAAGCCTGGCTCCAGCCTCCTGCTCACCACAGACCCCAGGAGGCAGCAGAGCTGGTCCAAGGAGTCGTGTGCCTGCCTCCCACACGCAGAACCAGAATGAGTTCCTGGATCCTAGCTCCGGCCAGGCTCAGCCACGGCCACTGCAGACGTGGACAATAAGAGCTGTCAGTCAGCGTGTCCCTCTCCTTCTCTCCACTTCTCAAATAATTTTAAAAATGCTGTGTGAAAATGAAGCCTAAAAGCCAGCGCCGCGGCTCACTAGGCTAATCCTCCGCCTAGCGGCGCCGGCACACCGGGTTCTAGTCCCGGTCGGGGCACCGGATTCTGTCCCGGTTGCCCCTCTTCCAAGCCAGCCCTCTGCTGTGGCCAGGGAGTGCAGTGGAGGATGGCCCAGGTGCTTGGGCCCTGCACCCCATGGGAGACCAGGAAAAGCACCTGGCTCCTGGCTCCTGCCATCGGATCAGCGCGGTGCGCCGGCCGCAGCGCGCCGGCCGCGGCGGCCATTGGAGGGTGAACCAACGGCAAAGGAAGACCTTTCTCTCTGTCTCTCTCTCTCACTGTCCACTCTGCCTGTCAAGAAAAAATAAAAAAAAATAAAATAATAAAAAAAATAAAATAAAAAAAAAATGCTGTGTGAAAATGAAGCCTAAAAGCCGGTGCAGCGGCTCACTAGGCTAATCCTCCGCCTTGCGGCGCCGGCACACCAGGTTCTAGTTCCGGTCGGGGCGCCGGATTCTGTCCCGGTCATCCCTCTTCCAGGCCAGCTCTCTGCTGTGGCCAGGGAGTGCAGTGGAGGATGGCCCAAGTGCTTGGGCCCTGCACCCCATGGGAGACCAGGAGAAGCACCTGGCTCCTGCCATCGGATCAGCGCGGTGTGCCGGCCACAGTGCACCAGCCGCAGCGGCCATTGGAGGTTGAACCAACGGCAAAGGAAGACCTTTCTCTGTCTGTCTCTCTCACTGTCCACTCTGCCTGTCAAAAAAAAAAAAAAAAAGCCTAAAAATAATGCATGTTTTCCATGAAATTTTTAAAATAATTCTTTAAATATAATTACTATGTATCAACTAAAAAGAAAAATGGCATTTAAAGAAGATTCCTATCAAATAAGACAAAATGCAGGGCACATAAGAAGTTCATGGAAGGGCTGGTGCTGCGGCGTAACCAGTAAGGCTGCCACCTGCTGCCTGCTGCTCCACTTCCGACCCAGCTCCCTGCTGCGGCCTGGGAAAGCAGCGGAAGACGGCCCTAGTGCTTGCCCCTGTACCCACGTGGGCCCAGCCCTGGCTACTGCAGCCGTCCTGGGAGTGAACAGCAAATGAAGACTTCTCTCTCTCCTTTCAAATAAGTGTTGTTGTTGTTGTTTAAAGTAGCTCAGGGAAGGCATGGGATGGGGCTCATTATGCTGGCAGAGCCAGACACGCAGCCTGGGGGTGGGGGGGCACTAACCACACTGGGCCGATGGATCAAGGACTTGAACCAGAAAGGGTTCCAAGCGGAGCGATGAATGAAGAGCTCCGCCCTTTACCGTCTCAGGCCTTGAGCAACCCGGCCCCTTGGGGACCCGGGACCCGCTGCTTGGGTGCAGGTGCTGGAGCCCAGGAGGGGAGGAGAACGCCAGCCCCACCGGCGGCAGCTGGGCCTGAAGGGCAGGCCCCGCGCAGGCGGTCCCCTCACCCTGGGGACAGGCAGAGGTGGTCATCCATCCGGGGCCGCAGCTTCGCCAGCTCTTCGGCCGAGTCTGTGGACCTGGGCAGGGCGGCCGAGACCAAGGACAGCTCCGAGTCCAGCAGCTCGGTGGTGGCCGACTCTGCAGACTCCGCCTCCTCGGAGGCCTCCCCGCCCAACTCCTCCGGGAAGTCTTCGTTGAAGTCCTCACCCAGCAGCTCGGCGCTGGGGGACGGCTGGACGATCTACGGGAGACACGAGAGCTCTCGCCTCACGCACCTCGGGGGCCGCAGCTCTGCGTGAACCCGCAGAAGGGTGAAAACCCAGGCGGGCGCGGGTGCAGGAATCGCAGGGCGGGCCGGGGAGGGGCGGTATGCACGTGGGAATCGCCGGGCCCGGGGGAGGGGGCCAGGAATCAGAGGGCCGCGCCAAGGTGCAAAGCCACCCACGCTTGCAGGCGCAGCGCGGGGCGCACCTCGGCCAGCACGCCACTGTACTCCTTCCTGTCGCCCTCCTCATCCTCCACGAAGTCGTAGGTCACGTAATAGGTGTAAGAGGCGAACGGGCCTTCGGGCCCTGGCTCGGGGTCCAAGACGGAGCTGTCCAGAACCCCCCTGATATTGCCAATGGTCACCACCAACTGCGCCGCGTGTGCCAAGAGATCTGCCAGGGAGAGTGCGGGACTCAGGGGCCCACGGAACAGAGGCCGGCAGACCCCACCCGAGGAGAGGGGCGCCCCGGGCAGGGCCCCAGAGCTCGGCTGTGCCACGATCAACCGCGTGACGGTGGGGTCAGTCACGGTACCCCTCCCCGGCTGTTCTCCAGGTCTCATGGGACACTTGGCACAGGTGGTCACAGAGGGTGACCTCAGCACGTGTCCGGCACACTGCAGGCACCACTCTCCTTTATAGTTTACTCCGACCTTGGCGCTGATGCACCTCGCGCCATGGGCCGCTAGGGGGCGATCTACAGCTACCGCAGAGGTGGAGAAACGGAAGGCCCTGTCCCCAAATCTCAGAAACTGCACCTGTCCGGGTAGGGGGTCTCGGGGCCACAGGCGCCGGTACCCAGGAGGGCAGGCGCTGGGGTGCAGCTCCCCTTACCCCCGTGGAGGCTGAGCCCCCGGAACTGGTGCTTCTCGTTGGGGGACACGGTGATGTCGTCCAGCACACAGAGTGGGGCCAGGCTGTCGATGGTGAAGCCGCGGTAGTACGGCACCAGGGCCAGCGGGTTCCCCTGCAGCACCAGCAGCCGCAGGCGCCGCAGGCTCCGGAGGGCAGCCATCATGCTCTGCAGGTCGGTCAGGTCGTTGAAGCCCAGATCGAGGGAGACGAGGCTGGGCCTGGGGGTGGGGGCGAGACCCCAGGGAGTTCAGAAGCCTGTGGAGCAAGGGGCCAGCACCCTGCGTCCAGGGCAGAGGACAGCGGCCTGGCTGACCTCAGGGCTCCACGGCTTGCCTCTACCTCGCCTTGGTACCCAGGCCCTCTTCGTGGGGCCTGCCACGTGGCTGCACCTCCGGGCTCTGAGCGTCCCACGGCTCACCCCCCAAGGAGACAAGGGGCAGGAACCATGGGCCGCGGACTGCTCCGCACCCCTCCCGGGGACGCTGGGCTTTCAGGAACAGTGGAGCGTCCTGAAGATCTGTCCCGGGCGGTGGCTCCCACCGTGACAGGTGGTCCCTGCGGGGACACTGGGCGCTGAGCAGGGTGGGCGCGGGGGCACTCCTGGCGTCCAGAAGGCAGAGGTGGGATGCCCACCACGGTCCCAGCAACACCGAGCGGTGGGCCCACCCGGCGGTGAGCAGAGCCCCGGCTGACACCTGCGGGATCCTTCCCTGGGCTCCGGGGGTGCTGTCGTCACTGTCTTAGTTAATGCCCAGGACTGAGGCCCGCGGGGAGTGGGCAGCCGGGGCGGACTCGCGCAAGCCCTTCCCACGGGGGCTCTGAGTTACCAGTGGCTGGCGGTGACATACAGGCTTTCCAGTGGGCCCAGGAGCTTGTTGTGGCCTAAGCCCAAGTGCTGGAGGCCCGGGGGCGGAGGGTGGACACACAGAGACTCCATGCTGGCCAGCTCGTTGCCGTATAGCTCCAGCACCTGCGAGCAGAGCGGACAGCGGGGCTGGGCAGCAGAGGACTGGCTGCTTCCTCTGCCTGGGACACTCAGGAGGAGAAAACTCAGGTGTTCGCGCCCTGCCCCTCTGGGCCAACCGGACTCCCTTTATAAAAATTATGTATTATTTATGTATTTGAAAGGTAGAGTGCAGAAACACAGAGAAAGAGGAGAAGAGAGGGAGACAGGGCAGAAGGATCACCTTCCATCGCTAGTTCGCTCCCCAAGTGCCTACATGGCCAAGGGCAGGCCAGGCCAGTGGAGCCAGGAATTCCATCCAGGTCTCCCACGTGAGTTGGCACATTAGCAGGAAGCTGGATCAGAAGCACAGGTTAAGCTGCCATCTGCAACGCTGCCATCCCAGATGGGCAATGGTTCAAGTCTGGCTGCTCCACTTCTGATCCATCCCCCTGCTAATGCACCTGGGAAAACAGCAGAAGATGGCTCAAGTGCTTGGACCCCTGCACCCATGTGGGAAACCCCTATGGAGTTTTTGGCTCTTGGCTTCAGTCATCCAGCCTTGGCATTGTGGCTACTGGGGAGTGAATCAGCAGATGGAAGACCTTTCTTTCCTCCTCTTTCTGTCACTCTTTCCAAGTGCATAAAACAAAAATTTTTTTAAGTGCAGAGTAAGCACTCAAACTGGCACTCCATTTTGGGGTACAGGCACTGCATTTTGGGGTGCAGGCACCTGCGGCGACAGCCTACCCCACTGCACACGACACAACTCAGTGGCACTGGTTACATCCAGAATGCTACACCACTCTCACTACCTTTTCACCCTTCTGACTGGAAGCCCCCGAAACGCAGAGCGGCAGTGCCTGGGTCTCTCCCCAGCCCCCAGAGCCTTTAACTCCTTTCTGCGTGTCTGCACACACAAGCCACATGTGACTTGCCGTTTTGTGAGTGGCTCCCCTCACTTAGCACCACGATTTCAAGGCTCACCCACACTGCAGCTGGTGTCACGCGTTCCTTCGGTGCCACGGTAGATGGGCCATGTTTGCTGGCTGCCTGCCTACAGACCCTCGGGCCATCTCTACCTCCTGGCTGCTGTGCGCACAGGCGAACCAGAGTCTGAAGCCCTGCCTTTGCCTCTCTGGGGTGTCTGCCTGGGAGAGAACTGCTGGGTGGAGGGCTCCGTGTTTCACTTGAGGAAAGTGGCCTCCATCCTGAAGGCCTGGGCAAGCCTGCGCAGGGCTGCTGAGGGGCAGGGCCTCCAGCAGAGCTGGTGCCTCTACCTTGAGTGTCCTGGGCAGATTGGCCGCATCCACTTCCTTGATATGATTGGCGCTCAGAATCAACTCCTCCAGCTTTAGAAACTTCAGGAGGTCTTTATCCACCAGACTCACCTGGGAGGGAAGGACAGGAGGCTGGGGGTGGGGCGGGGCCGGGCGGCGTGGGCAGAGCCAAGTCCACATCAGGGAAACCGGGGCTCCCGCACCCAGCCCTGGTGCCACCCTGGCCTCCCCAGAAGCCTGTCCTGCATTGCTTCCTTCTGCCCCGACTCAGGGGCCTCTTGCCACCCTCGCCTCCTTGGACTGGGAGTGTTGTCTGCCTTCTGCTGGGGCCCGTGCCACTGGGGAGGGCAGAGAACATCCCCCGGCCTCCTGGTGGGCTGGCACTGAGGGTGCGTGGGGACGACAGTCGTCACCCTGCTCTCCACAGAGCAGGTCAGTGCCTGGTGGTCTCAGAGACACAGGGAGCCCTTCCTGTCTGGGCCTCTCTCCCTGGGGGCCACCAACTAGGCTAGTTTTCCCAGGGTGGAAGGGCTTTGCTGGAAGCAAACCCAGGAACCCGGCATGGCTCGGCCACCCCTCCTCCCTGCACCGTGCCATGTCCCGGTTCCAGGGAGAAGGAAGCCTGAGACGGAGTTTCCGTGCCAGCGCTGGGCTACTACCGAGCCAAGCAGAGGCGCTGTAACAGCAGACGTGAACACCAGCACTGTGCCGCCAGCCCTCCAGGCCCCGACCCTCAGGCCACATGAAGCCCATGGCAGGCCCTCCCAAAGGTCTCTGCTGAGACCCAGGAGGGCACACCAAGGCACTCCTTCCTGGGGGCATGAAGAATGGTGACAAGCCGGTGGGCTCCATCAGAGGGCAGGGCACAGCTGCCCTTGGCCGAGGCAGACCTCCTCCGGCCTCCACCAAGGAGCTGTGGAAAACTCTGGAGCGGCCACCCTACCCTCACCGCCACACTCACCTCCTTGTCCACCACCCGCAGGGTCCGGAAGTAGGAGTAGAAGAAGGAGTCCTTGAGCTGCAGCGGGTCCTGGATGGCCAGCTCTCGCAGGAACTGGTCCTCCGTGCTGGAGCCGCTCGGCAGAGCCCAGGGCGAGTGGGGGCTGCGCACGAGGTCCAGCAGGGCTTCCACTGTCTCCTCCTCTCTGGGGTCCAGCTCCCTCCACATTTGCCCAGTTCGAGGACCAAAGCGAGACTTATTCTGCAAGGGTGGATACGATGCCTCTCTCTAGGTCCAAAACTCAAAACCCGAAAGACAATAAAGGAGGATAACTGGGGGTGAGACGGTTGGAGCTCTGGACAATGAGTGGAAGATAATTTTGAGTAACTACTGCCTGTGGATATGACCTCAGAGGAGGGAAGACACAAAATGCCTGGAGTCCAACTCCTGCCCGTACAGGTTTCCTCTGGAGTTGGAGTAAAAGTGCTGAAGAGGCCAGTGCTGGGGTTCAGCGGCGTAAGCTGCCGCCTGCCACACCAACATCCCACACAGAGTGCCTGGTCCAGGCCTGTACCCTCTGCTTCCAATCCAGCTCCCTGCTAATGCACCAGGGAAAGCAGCAGGAGACGGCCCAGGTGCTTGGGTCTCTGCCACCCACATGGGAGACCTGGATGGAGTTCCTGGCCCCTGGCTTTAGCCTGACCCAGTCCTGGCTCTTGTGGCCACTGGGGAGTGAACCAGTAGATGAAAGCTCTTTCTCTCTCCCCCTTCTCCCTCTAACATTCTGCCTTTCAAAATGAATACATCCTTTAAAAAAAAAAAGTAAAAGTGATGATATATTTCACACTAAACTTACAAACATTTATGTACAGGGTGAGCATCCCTAAACTGCCAACCCAAAAGTCCAGCATGTTCCAACACCTGAAACTTTCCTAGCAACGACTGACATGACATCACCAGCGGAAAACTCCACACCTGACCTTGCGTGAGCCGTCACAGCCAAGCACAAAACTGCTTAAAATACTGTTTAAGAGACCTTCAGGCTACGTGTGCAAGGTGCACAGCCAGCAAACACGAATTTCAAGTTCAGGCTTGGGTCCTGTCCCCAGGACGCTGCACTGTGTCTCTGCAAATATCCCCAAACCCAGAACTCCCTGCAGCCCTGGCACGCTGCGTAAGGGCCCGGAGGCACTGCAGGCAGCCTGTGGGGGCTCTGATCACAAGAAAAGCTTTCTGAAGAGGCTGTGAGGCTGGAGAGGCAAACCCAGACCCCGAGGTGCGAAGCGATGCACCCTGCGAGCCTCCCTCCCACCCCTTGCTCCAGGCATCTGCGAAGCCTCAGTGCCCCTGCCCTGCCTGGCGCCCAGCACGCTGCCCCGGCTCTGTGCACCCCTGGCTGTGGCTCAGCTTTCCTACAGAAGGGAACCAGGAAGCAAAAAGGGGTTTTGCCCACTTCTCTGTGGGGAGGTCCAGCTTCCACCAAGGCCACCAAGACCATTCAGACCTCTCCGGGCCCTGGTTCTCCATGTCACCATTTTTGTCCCCATCCTGGGCACCTGACTGATGACCCAGAGCTTCTGGCCACACAGAGTCAGGGTCACATTTGTGCAACCCGTGCCCAGGTTGAAGTCAGAGGGGAAGGCCATTCGTGGGCAGAGAAACCACTTTCCTTCTACAGCTGTAGCAACTCATTTCCTTCTGTTTCCCCTGAGCCTGGGAAGCAGGGGGCAGCAGCTCCAGCCCCCTGAGCCACGTCAGGCTCCCCTCCCTCTGAAAGCCATGGGGGAAAGGTCCGTGACCCCAGGGGCAGGGAGGGGACCGCGGGGTGGAAAGCCTTCTCGACACCCGGCTCCCAGGAAGGGAAGCCCCAGCCTCTGCCCACCGGTGCCTGCAGGTTGAGAAATCGTGCTCAGACAGAAGCCCTGCCCCCACAGGGAAACCTGCGTCCAGAAGCTGGAGTCCAGCGCACAGCCCTGCTCAAGCCAGGCCCAGGTGGGGGCCTGGTCCGGGCAGCCCCGCAGCGTCCCGGTGCCCACAGCCACTCCCCGGCCCCGGCCCCGGCCCCGGAGCGCGCACCCAGCTGCCCGTGCCACAGGGGAACTCGCGCAGGCACAGCTGCCGCAGGTGCTCGCGCACCGCCGCGCTCACGGTCCCCGGCCCGGACGCTGAGCGCCCCTCCATGGCTGTCCGCCACTGTCCGCGTTGCTAGGCGACCGTCAGCCGCGGGAGCGCGCCAGATCCAGCGCTGATCAAATCGCGAGAGGGGGCAACCGCTGGACCCGCGCTTCCGCGGGCTGTCAACTTTCCGCGGAGGAAAAGCCCTCCAGGCTGGGGGTCAGAGACCTCCCCCACATCACCTGGCTTTTCTCCCCCACCCTCATGTTTAAACCTGGGGCAGCAGTGCCCGCAGCCTCACACCCGGGGCTCCCAGCGGGACTGAGCACTTCCCTGTGCCGGTCACCACCTCCGCCCCGCTCCAGGCAGGGCGTCCTGGGCTGGGCCGCTGCGGCCTGACCCAAGCCTGAGGTCTCCGTCTCCTAGATTCTGGCTTCTAGAACCGGGAAAGGCAGATCGTGGCGGAGGTGTGATTTACATCCCTTAAACGGTGCCATTTAAGGGGCTACCGCTTGGGCCGCACACATCTCATGACCCAGTGGCTGGTTCGAGTCCAGCTCTGCACTCCTGGGAACCTCAAATATGTGGTCCCGGCCACGCGCACAGCCCAGGCAGGCATCCGGGGCTGACCCAGTGGATGAACCAACTCCTTCTCTCTCCTCTGCCTTTTAAATAAATATATGTACACATACACATACGTGTCTAAGTGTACACATGGGCTTTGCACAGCACAACTCACCACAATCTAATGTTCAACATTTTTCTCCTCCCATAAGGAAACCCTGGACCCATGAAAGCAGCCCACTATTCCCACATCTGCCCAGCCTTTTTTTTTTTTTTTTTTAGAATTATTTTATATTTGAGGCCGGCGCCGCGGCTCACTAGGCTAATCCTCCGCCTTGTGGCGCCGGCACCCCGGGTTCTAGTCCCGGTCGGGGCACCGGATTCTGTCCCGGTTGCCCCTCTTCCAGGCCAGCTCTCTGCTGTGGCCAGGGAGTGCAGTGGAGGATGGCCCAAGTGCTTGGGCCCTGCACCCCATGGGAGACCAGGAAAAAGCACCTGGCTCCTGGCTTCGGATCAGCGCGGTGTGCCGGCCGCGGCGGCCATTGGAGGGTGAACCAACGACAAAAGGAAGACCTTTCTGTCTGTCTCTCTCTCTCACTGTCCACTCTGCCTGTCAAAAAATAAATAAAAAATAAAAAAATAAAAGAATTATTTTATATTTGAAAGTCAGAGTTACACAGAGGAGAGGCAGAGAGAGAGAAAGAGAGGTCCTCATTCCACTGGTTCACTCCCCAAATAACCGCAATGGCTAGAGCTGTGCCGATCCGAAGCCAAGAGCCAGGAGCTTCCTCCAGGTCTCCCACGTGGGTGCAGGGGCCCAAGGAGTTGGGCCATCTTCTACTGCTTTCCCAGGCCACAGCAGAGAGCTGGATCGGAAGTGGAGCAGCCGGGGACTCAAACCGGCGCCCACATGGGATACAGGCCCTGCAGGCAGAGGCTTTGCCCGCTGCGCCACGGCGGCGGCCCCTCATCCCGGCTCTTGACACAGCAGCCTGCACTCTCTTCTCCTCACTTTCCAAACCACCAACGTGGCTCCCACCGTGTCCTACAGCATTCAGACTCCCCCAGTGAAGTTCAAATTCCCCTTGTGGAGTTCCCGTGACCTCATGTCACCCAACCCAGTGAACCTCCTCAGCCCTTATCTTCTTTGACCTCTTCGTGGCTTAGGAGGATGCCAACCGTTTCCTCTGTCGAAAAACTACTCATCTCGTTCCATGACAGCATGTTCTCCTGGTACTTTTCTCTCCCTGCTCAGTGTCGTGGACGAAACCGTCTTCCTCTCCTGGTCCCATCACCGAGGCACGCCCCAGGCCTGCACACCCTCTTGGGTCTCACACGGTGGTCTTCCACAGGCACACAGTCACAATACACGGATGGCAGCCACGTTTGTGTCTCGAGTACCTTCCTTCAGGCTCCATGGCCTGCAGTGTGTCGTCACCCAAGCATCACGTACTAGCTCTAACTTCCGTGTTAGAAGTCTGATTCGTCACTTCGGGCAAGCCCCACTGTTCGTCGTAGCACCACCATCCATCCAAACCAGAGACCCAGAAGCCACCCTCAACCCTCCCTTTCCATCGCCACCTCTTGGAAGCTTACTTCCCAAACAGGTCCTCAGCCATCCGCGTCCCCCCATCTCCACTGTCATCACGGCTCTGTGTAGATCCTTGAGCCTGAGCACAGGTGGGACATTCAGGAGGACATTGAGATCCTGAAGGAAAAAGGCATTTGAGTGTAGTGAATAGAGGTCAGGGGTGAGCACGCTGGATGTGCATTAATTAAAGGGCTAAGCACAGGAGACGGGGCGGGCAGGGACAGGAGGGGCTAGTTCTGATGCTCCAGACCACAGGAGGGCACAGTAGGCTAAGAATGGTCTCTAACAGTTTATGGTATATTTTTAAATAACTGGCAGAGGTCAAAGGTCCCAAGTCATGAAGTGAGACACATCTAAAGGGATGGCAATGCCGACACACTGCACGCATGGACCAAACTATCACACTGTACCCCGAAAATGCATACAAGCACTAGGGGGTCACTGAAACAGAGCCAGGGGCAGGAGTTCAGCTCAGCAGTTAACGTCCCACTTGGGACGCCCGCATTCCACATTCAAGTGCTTGTGTTCACGTTCCTGCTGTGTTCGTGATTCCAGCCTCCTGCTCGTGTGCACCGTGGGCGACAAGCAGTCATCACAAGTGGCTGGGTTCTTGCCACCCATAGGGGAGTCCTGGACTGAGTCCTGGCTCCTGGCTTCAGCCTGACCCAGCATTGAGGAGAGCACCAGTGAACAGGAGCTCTCTGTGTCTCCGTTTCTGTATCTCTGCCTTTCAAATACATTAGTAATTAAAAAAATAAAAATTAACGGGCAGGCATTTGGCCTGCTGGTTAAGTCAAGGGTTCAGATGCCCACATCCCACGTCAAAGCACCTGGGTTCCATGTCTGCCTTCAGCTTCCTGCTAATACGGACCCTGGGGGCACCAGTGGGAGTCAAGTTACTGTGTCCCCGTCATCCACGCGGGAGATCTGGGCTGAGTCCCCAATTCCCAGCTTTGGCCCAGCCCGGCCCTGGCCATTGCAAGCTTCAGGGGGCAAACCAGCAGATGCAAGGCCAGTTTCAGTCTCTTTCTCTCAAATGAATAAGTAAATGGGAAACAAAAACTTTAATTTAAAAAAGTGGGGGAAGGGAGACAGGGAGTGATCCAGCCTACAGAGAACAGGTGCCACAGAGTGGCAAAGTGCATCAGGACAGCATCACAACAGAGGAGCAAGAGGAGGTCCTGAAGCTGGAGGTGGCTGGCACCATGAGGTACCAGGAGTGGTCAATTCAAATGACAGCTGAGGGGAACCCAGGAGGGCTGGAAACACCAGGTCACTGGCCACGTGCCAGGATAATTCAGAACGTCTGCAGAAAAGATGCCTAACAACAGAACTGGTGAAGCAGAAGAAAGAATATCTGACTTAGAAGATAAAGCACAGGAAATTATACAGTCAGACCAAACACAAGAAGAAGAAATTAGAAAACTGAAAGACACTGTGGGGATCTGTAGGATACTATCAAATCATCCAACATATAGGAGTTCCCAAAGGTGTGGCAGGAGAGAAAGGATCAGAAGGCTTTTTTAGTGAAATAGTAACAGAAAATTTCCTCAATGTGGAGAAAGAAAGGGACATCCAAGTACAGGAAGCACACAGAACTCCTAATCGACATGACCAGAAAAGATCTCCACCACAACACATTGTAACCAAACTCTCCGCAGTAAAACACAAAGATTCTAAAATGCGCACGAGAGAAATGCCAGATTACTTTGAGAAGAGCTCCAATTAGACTCACTGCAGACTCCTCAACAGAAACCCTACAGGCAGGAGAAAGTGGCAAGATCTATTCCAAGTCCGAAGAGAAAAAAACCTGTCAACTCAGAATACTATACTCTGCAAAGCTCTCACTTATGAACAAAGATAAAATAAAGACCTTCCACGATAAACAGAAACTGAAAGAATTTGTCACCATACGTCCAGCCCTGCAGAAGACGTGCTGCACACAGAAACACAAAAAACATGGTCATCCTTATGGAAAGGGTGAAGGAAGTTCAAAGGAAATCCAAAGTAAAAAATAGGAATATTTATGGAAAAATGGCAGGGCAAAGTCATTACTTATCAATAGAACCTTGAATGTAAATGGCATTAACTTTCCAGTTAAAAGACACAGATTGGCTGAATGGATTAAAAAAAAAAAAAACCATTTATTTGCTGCCTAATCTCACAGACAAAGATGCACACAGACTGAAAGTGAAAGGATGGAAAAAGATATTCTATGCTAACAGACACCAAAAAAGAGCTGGTGTAGCCATCCTAGTATCAGACAAAATAGACTTTAATGCAAAAAACTGTTAAGAGATTTAAAGGGAGGCTGGTGCCATGGCTCACTAGGCTAATCCTCCGCCTGCGGCGCCAGCACCCTGGGTTCTAGTCTCAGTTGGGGTGCCGGATTCTGTCCTGGTTGCTCCTCTTCCAGTCCAGCTCTCTGCTGTGGCCTGGGAAGGCAGTGGAGGATGGCCCAAGTGCTTGGGCCCTGCACCCGTATGGGAGACCAGGAGGAAGCACCTGGCTCCTGGCTTCAGATCAGTGCAGTGCGCCGACCACAGCACACCAGCCATAGCGGCCATTTGGGGGGTAAACCAACGGAAGGATGACCTTTCTCTCTGTCTCTCTTGTTCACTGTCTAACTCTGCCTGTCAACAACAATAAAAAAGAGATTTAAAGGGAGACAGAGATTCAAATAATGGGGGATTTCAATACCCCACTTTCAGCAATGGACAGATAAACCAGACAGAAAATCAGCAAGGAAACAGCAGAATTAATCAACACTATAGACCAAGTGGACCTAACAGATATCTACAGAACTTTCTGTTCCACAGTTGCAGAATAGACATTGTTCTCAGCAGGGCATGGAACCTTCTCTAGGATTGACCCTTCGAGAAGCAATGACTTGAACTGCCCTTGTCTTGACTATTGAGGAACAGTGTTGTTTTTTTTTTTTTGTTTGTTTGTTTGTTTGTTTGTTTGTTTTTTTTAACAGAAAAATGGGACTGGGAATGGGAGAGGGAGGAGGAGATTGGGTGGCAGTGAGGGTGGAAGGGCGGGTATGGTGGGAAGAATCACTATATTCCTAAAGTTGTACTTATGAAATTTGTATTCATTAAATAAAAGGTTTCTTTGGGGGAAAATATGTTTATCTTGGTGCAAAAATATGAAATCCATGCATCACTTTCCAAAATACATATTTTTCATGAACTTCTGGAAGTATCAGCTCTCTATCATTGCCAGGACCAACACCATGAACTTAGCACTTTCAAAAACACAAGACTGACAGTCTCACAGTTTCTGTAGGTCAGAGGCCCGTTGTGGACAGCCTCTGCTAAGGGTCCCCAGGAGTGAACGTAAAGGTGCTGCCTGGCCAGCACCTCCTCCTGGGCTCAGGCCTCCCTGGCGAGCTCACTGGCTGCGGCCCAAACGCACTTCCTCCTCGGCCTTCCTACAGCCCCTCCACCTTCTGTCAGCAAGGACAACTGAGTGCTTCTCAGGACTCTGCCCTCCTATTTTCAAGGGCTCAGCTGATTATGGTGGCCGGTATTGTAGACACAGCGGTGTCACACACTGCCCAATGTGACACCAGCAAACTGTGAGCACTGGTTCAAGTCCCGGCTGCTCCACTTCCCATCCAGCTCCCTGCTAATGGCCTGGGATAACAGCAGAAGATGGCCCAGGTGCTTGGGCCCCTGCAAGATGGAGTTCCTGGATCCTGGCTTTGGCTTGGTCCAGTTCAAGCCCTGGCTGTTTTGGCCATTTGGGGAGTGAACCAGTGAATGGAAGATCTTTCTCTCTCTGCAACTCTCTGCCTTTTAAATAAATAAATAGATCTTTTTAAAAACGTATAAAGAGCCCACCTGGGTAATCCAGGATAATTCCTCTATTTTATCTGTTTATTTACATTTTAATTAATGAATTTGAGACAGAGACAGAGAGAGAGAG